ACCTAGGAACTATATGCAGTCCATGCCCCTGTACCTGTCCACATGAAACAGAGCAATGCCAGCCTAGTATTTCTGTTTTCATCTTTCTCACCTTTCACAGCTCCCACTTACCCTTTCTGTGTTTGCTGACTACAAGAGTAGAAGGCTACAGCAGCAACACTTTGAGATGCCACAGCAATGCAACCCCAATTTTCCAACAGCTGAAAATTAAGTCAAATAAACCACAGAAAGAGACAGCATTTTTTTTCCTACATGATTGCCTCTCGCTTCTTTACAAAAGCAGACTGGTGTGAGATACAATATATCATTAAAACACTATAAATCAGTGTCCTTTATTTTGTCTGGAACAAAGCACTCAAAAATTCCAGCTGTGCTTTGTCCAGCCCTTAGCACAGTCTGTATGATCAGTCAGTCACCAACAAGATTACCAAGTCTGCACTTTTTCTCACTCTGGTGTGTTTTACCTATCAGCAATGAATATTGCGCTTTAGTATCTTCTGGCCTAGAGACTCCATGACAAAGTACAAAATATGACCTTACAGCGCAGATAAAATTTTAATAAACACATAATTGGCAGCGTGAACAGTTCTGTTCTTCTGGTATTACACTTGCATGTCTAGGGGGTCTGAATAAAGACTTGAGAAATGTTTAATTTTTACAGTAAATAATTAGCAAACATGACCAAAAATTTATGCATGTGAGTGCTCATATGCACATATTTGCTCATACTATATTTGGTAAAACCAAATTGAAATACCATAAATCATCATTATCTTCAGCCAAGATGTTTTACATATGTTGTTTGTTCTCTTTCCAAAGAACAGTAGTGCTAAATGTCATAGGAGCAAAACCAACTCCCACACAACTTCAGATGAACACTGTAGCTCTCTATTGAATTTCTTGTGAAGACTGAAGGAAACAACTCAGCAAGGTTTTCAATTTAACAACCACATGAAGGAAGGGAAAAAACATCCCTCCTAGGAAAACTTGGAGGAAACATATCAGGTTATGTTTTTCTAAACCTTGAAAATCCTTCTTCTGTGTAAATTATGCTTTTATCACAGCATTATATCATGAGGAATTGCATTTCTGAGTTTTCTATTATAAGAGTAGAAAATAAGAAGAGAATAACAAACTTGGTAAACACTGACAGGTTTATCTACAACATTTTTTAAAATTTTAACTAAATAAGAATGAGGTAATCATTAAGATTAATCTACGTGCTAGTCTAGCATTCATCATTGTTTCAAGTTTCACATTTCTATCACCAAAGTATATTACTTTCTCCTCCTGCTATCCTAGTTCCTAGTGTGCCACAAGGCAGCAAATAAACCTGGTACTACTTTATAAACTTTAATCATCTGAACCATTGTGATTTTCGGGGTTAATTTCTATGTTAAGACTTCAATAATAACAATTCTAAAGAGAACAGAAGTATTTTCTTAAACTCCACAAACATATGAATCATTAAACAAACATCTCTGAGTAAGGCACAACCCAGCAGGGCTGATACGCATCCACACTTCCTCCAATATTAACATTTTAATAGGTGATGACTGATCTTAACATTACAAATTCATATATACAGAGGCTACACAGCAGTAAGCAGCCTTCACTGCATGTAATAAGTGAACAGGGTTTATCAAAGCAAAATTCTCTCTTGATCCTTTTCTTGGGAAATTAAGTAGAAAAAAATTTTAATCAGTCTCAGTGGTGACACCTGCTCCAGAAAATATGACAAACCAAAGCTAATGTGGTTGCCTCATATGCCCAACTTAAAGGGAAGAGTGGTAAAAGCAATAGAGGGGGAATATAAATTTTTTTTCATGACCAGAAAGCTTTATAAACCCCCAAATCTAATACCCTCTTCCCCAAGACCACCAACAAAAAATCTATTAAAAAACCCTACCTTGCACCACATGCCAATAAATTAAAAGAGCTTTAGAACCAACACCCTGTGCCTCCTATTTAAGTGTGCTTTGTTAAGGTGTAGAGGAAAAGGGAACAAGAAGAGAATTGAATTCTGTAAGCCAGTGCCAGAAAATACATCAGGGCACAGCTTTATCCTGCCTACTCACCCCTCTCATCTCTCTGACCCCCAGAAGGCAGGCATCTGAAGATATGCTCAATTAATCTAATTAGCTATATTTACATTTTGACTCAGCCGCCTACATCTGCTACAGCAGATACCCCACCATTCCCTGCTGAGAAATCCAAGGATTTGTTTCCTTTTAAGTTTGCTCTAACAGCCAGTAGCTTTTTGGCTGTTGGGCACAGGTAGCTCCTAACATGTTTTAAATACCATCTCCAAATCACTTTGTATTGCCTTCTAACGACTTTTGTGAACAAAATTCATTACAAGTACTTACAGAATATCAGCAAGTCCAAAAGTCTTAGAAAACAGTAGGAACAAGGCCAAAAAGCATGAGGAAAGAACTTTCTTATGCATTAAGAAGGAGTTAACAGGACAAAAAAGCTATGTGCCAACAGTGATTAGAATTTCCATGAACTAAGGACTGCAAAATTATTTGGGATCAAGGCTCACAATATTCACAAAGAAAATGTGCAGAGAAAAAGATAATGTGGCGACTACCTCTGCTAAAAATCTCTTGGTAGTGAAAGCAAGAGGAACAGTACAGTTCTCATCCATAACTAGAAAAGCAAGACAAGTCTATGGTACCCCTGCAATAGCATCCTGAAAAACAACAGGATTCTAAAACCCCCACCTACACACAGACATTTTTCTTTTAGCATAAATCACAGAAGTTAAACTAGTGGCTCACCCACATATCAATAGCAAAATTAAAACCTAACTTTTAATTGCCAACATGCAAATCTTACCCTGGTTTAATCATACCAGTATAATAAAAATTACAGTGCTGTTTACTTTGGAACTTTTCCAGCTGTTGGCCAAACAATAACTTATTTGCTTTGCAGGTTTTCCTTAAAGCTATATGGCTATTAAAATTTTTCCTTCTTCCATCCCCCAACTGTAAATCTAGCAGCTGTAACAACAGCTGGGCAGTTTAGCAACTGTAAAAGACAAATGCCAATTTCTAAGAAAGGGCTTTCTAGTAAAAGAAAATAGGGTCTGTAGCAAGTTTCTGCAGACTCCTCAACGATAAGATTTTACTCTGTAACTTGGCATCAGCTGGAGAGCTGCCTCTTCCTCTGCTCTTCTGCTGAACTCTCCAGGCAGATTCCTGATCCTGTCTCTCATTCAGTTTTGACAGGAAAAAGTCATTTTGCTGTTGCAGAAAAAACTATGTCCTGCCACGCTATTTTATTATTTGTGTTGATTCATATACTCTTTTTAGTATCAAGACTTATTAAGAGCAAGGCTTTAATATCAGACATTAACTAGAAACACATCTAGTATATATCGTGCCACCAAGAATGAGCTGACTCTAAATTCTTCATATCTTAAACAGAGATCACCCCATTTGAAAAAGAATGATCCAATTACAATAGGAAAACGAGCCCTCTTATATAAAAATTCTGTCATGGTAGCAGGTTTAGTCATAAGAAAAGAGAAGGCAAAACAAACAATCCTAAACTTGTTCATAATGATCCTTTTAGCTTTCTCAAGTCATTTACAATTGGCGTATGTTAGAGGAGTCTAAAAATGTCTCTAGATACTTTACTGATCTAAATTTATTAGCATAAGAACATTTGTAGCTTCTGTTGACTTTAACTGCAGTTGTGAGCATTAAGCTGCTCACAATATACAGCCCACTTATTTCAGCATCTAAGTATAGGTTGTGTACCAGCCCAGAAGAATTTCTAATTGGAAACACTGCTCATGGTGCCAAGTTGAAACTGAATGCTGAAAATAACCAAACACTGCTTATTTCATTTGCTGTCTTTATCCTCCTCCTCTTCATCTCCACAACTCATGGGGAGTTTTAAAAAATGGTTCGGCCTGTAAAGTATCAGAAAGAAACTTGCAAGGAAAGCTCCTTCTGGAAAAAAGATAAAATAAGAGCATTATGAACAATACCAAGGAAAATTGACCAACCTTCCTGGGAACAAAACAGGCAGAGATGCCAGGGAATGCAAGGGAGAAATACAGTTCTTAAAAAAAAATAAACTTGAAGTACATTTGAAGTACCATGTACTGTTTTGCTACAGAGACTAACATACTCTTCAACTAAACAGAGCAGTGACAGAAAAATACATGAAAAAAAGTCAGGAGAGATTTTATGACTTGAACACAACTGTGCCATGTTCCACTCTTTCAAAAAAATCCTAAGAACTTCAGGTTATGACCAACTAATCATAGAATTCAAGGAATTACTTAAACAGGTTTTACCATAGGTACAATAATTGATTGTGAAGGTATGAAAATGTAATACACTGAAAGTTCACCCAGAGCATCCTCCTCTTATTGCAAACATGCTGGCAAGGCACATGTTCTACTTCATGACACACACAGTAATGATCTGTTACAAGCTGTAATTGTTCCTGCACATGTACAAAAGAATATTGTGCTGTATCCCCAGGAAGACACAATGTGCTAGAAAGGGCAAAATGTACAGCTGAGCACTGTGAGTCTTAATAGGAGCTGTAAGAAGGATGAAGAAATTAATACTTACCATCTGTATATTACCAATACAAAAATGAATTCCCTTTGGCTGGAAAAGTATTCACAAATGCTGTATTCTCGGCAGATGCACTCTAATAATCTCAAAACTTTTTCATCATGCACTCCTAGCAGTAACAAAATTTTTGAGAATGGATGCCAATATACATAGGTTTATTTCTTTGTAAAGTATACACATATATGACTGAAGTTCCAGCATTTTCATCCCCCACACCAATGGATCATCTCACACACCCCACTTTGGAGACCACTGCTGTAATGAACACAAGAACCAGTGCCAGCAAATCAAACATCTGTCTCAGATGTTTGCTATGAATATCCATGCTAAAATCCTGTGGGCTCTGAGCTGGATACTACAGCTAAGCTTTTGCCCATAGAAATGAAAAGTCAGTCTTACCAGTGGAGGTGGTGGTGGAGGGGGCCCTCCAGAAGGTGGTGGTGGAGGGGGCCCTCCAGAAGGTGGTGGAGGTGGTGGAGGAGGAGGTGGCGGCGGTGGTGGTGGCACAGGCATTCGCTCGGATTTCTAGCTTCAGCAATTGTGAAAAATACAGCCAAAGTCTATGTCCTTGAGGAGAAAGAAGGGAGGAGAAGGAAAAGTGGAAGAATAAAAAGAAGAAAAACAGAGAGGAATATATTTATACACTGCAAGCTGAGGTTCAGTCAAATATCTATCTCTCAGCAGACTGAAGACTTTTATACTGCACTGTTTCCAAAAGTACGGTATGAACAGCCTCATTACAGTTATGATGACAACATACATCTAAAGAGCAAGCTCATGGATCTGGACCACTGCCATCAGTACCAAATGCATAGATGCTAGCCTGTCCAACTATTACATCTTGTCTTAACCTTGCCCATAGCCCTGAAATGCAACTCTGCAGAGAACAAATCACAGTCGAACCACATGTAGACACGCCTGCTGAGAGAAAAACTCTGTTGACTTTAAGCCAGAGGTTTGCTGCTCTATGGAGAGAGTAAGAGATTTTTTAAGGCTCAGTGGACTTATTCAATATTTAAGGGAAAAAAAAGAGGGGAAAAAACCCCTCATTATTAAATAAAGAAATAATTCTACAAATTAATGATTCTATTACCAAATTATATCATAACAAGGATCAGACATCTCAAGTGTTAAAGTCAAGTGTTTTCCCTTCCATTTATAAATGTTAATTTTCACAAATCTTTAGTAATGTACTCACAAAAAGGCACCTATCTTCCAACAAAAGCTATATATTCTTTTAAAAAGAAAAATCTTTTGCAGAGTGACAGTGCATCACTCACTGATTTTCATACCTAACCCAGCCCTGAGCATGACTCAGTCATCATTAAAATTAACAAGAAACCCCTGTATTTCATTAGTAAAGTTGCAAATGAAAGTACTAGGCAGTGCCAAAGAGAGCCCTCTGCAAGCCATATTTGAAATCTTCTTTTACTAGTGACACTTGGATAAATGCTCTGAACACATCTAGTTTCACATTTTGTTCTACATCCATCGTGTCACAATTATTTTCTGGGACTCTTCACAATATCATATGAAACAGTGTCAAAAGCCCTACAATAACACAAATATGTCATATGCTTTGTCTTTTCTTTCTGAAAGGCTTTATCTTAACAAGAAATTACATTGGTTTCTCACATTTACTCATTATACATCTCTCTAGGTCATAATTTGTTTCTCTGACTCCTGAAAGGTCTTAAAAATATTTTTCACATTTTAAGGTTTTACTAGAAATTGATGTTAAGTTGAAAAGACCAGAATTTCCAGACCCTATTCCCCTTGGTTCTCTCTTCATTTTTAAAAGCAGGAACTCCATGCTTTTCCAGAATCATCTGTGTAGGGAGGAGGCACAACAGTTAAATCTGGGAAAGTTCAGGAGAGAAGACAACACAGAAATGAGGCAAGTTATGGTCTTGAGTGGAATATCTGGCTGTTTTGCTAGAGGGTTAGATTGGAAGAGGCAGTGAAATTAAAACATTCATGCAGATTTGTTCACCTCCTACCTAGTGTATATGAACAATATCCCGATAATATCTGAATGTTTTTCTCCTTTTCTATCTTGTAAAATTCTTAATGAGAGATCAGTCAAAAATTAAACAGACAGAGCCTCTGAAACACTCATTTTCTCCCTTGAGAGACTGCTATGCAAAGGGCTGGCATATCAAAGCACCCTGATCTGTAACAGAATCGGTTACAATCACTTTAATAATCTCTTAATGAAGCTTTCCAAGAAAGCTGGCATCACAGCATCTCCACCATTCCGCCCTCATTGTTGCCCTATTCAAAACCCCATTTTCAGAAGATATCTCTCTTCCTCAATTAAGCCACTCAAAAACATGGACATAAGGAGAATGAGTCTTCCCAGCTAATAATATGTTTCGGGTTAGTATCTTCCTACCCTGCAATACGGGCCTTTTGTCTTCATTAAGGATTTAGAATGAGAAATATGCTCTTAGTCAAATTAGGAAAAAAAAAATACAACCCACGCTCCTGTGGCAGACCACATGAATGGCAGCAGGAGGTAGCAGCAGTGGGAGAAAGGAAATGGGAATCAGCTCCTGCTATTTAAAAGTCACAATCTGAAATGCCATCAGATGACTTTTCTAGCTGCCTCTCCACCAGTCCCTGCCCCAGCACCTGTTCCTCCAAATGATGCAGCCTAAATTCAAGGATTAGAAACTGTGTGACCATCTACAACCCAAAACTCAGTGCAGAGGAAGGGTTCACCATATATCCCACTCCCATATCCTGTCCAGTGGCATCAGGGAAAAATGCATTCTGTGGGATTGTAACACACAGCCCTTGAAAGAAATACTGGAAACACAATATAGCTTTCCTCCCATGCTGTTTCAAAACCTCTACGAATGAACCATTTTTCAGAAAATCCTGCTGATGTGCCTTCTTTAGTCTCTTACCACAATTTCTGAGGCTCAATGTCCTGACCATGGCATGCTTTTGTGTACACATTAAAACTCATGTTTTTTATACCAGCACTATTTATTCCAGGGTAATGCCTACACAATGAAGAACCATTTTCCACACAGGGGCTCTATTTGTTCAAGTGGGCTTTGAAAGGAGCACTGCTATCTCACGAGTAGACAATGTATGCTGATAAAGGCAGGAATCTTCAAGCTAACTTACAATAAAAAACATTTGGCTCTTAACATTTAGTCATAACTGCACAATCTACACTTTTTAATATGCAGGATGGACTATGATAACCTCTTTTGTATTACTGCAGCAGTATTACGTGGACTGTATTGAAAGAAAATGATGGAGAAGGTTGCAACACTTTCAATATAACAACACACATTCCTTGTAGGCCTCTGTTCCTGGGTTAAAGGCTGTATTTCATTTACCTCTCCCCTCATTATATTACATATATACACACAAACATATACAAACACAAGCATATAAATATATATATAATTTGTAAACCATGGTCAGTAATTTCACACAACAGCTTCAGAACCTGCTGAGTTTATGGATTTTCACATAATAATCTAAATAAATTCTGAATTAAAAATAAAAAAAAATTAGTATATTGATCAGTTCTAGAGTCTGTTAAGAGCCAGGCAAGAGGGAAATGCTCCAAAGGATCCTTAAGGCATATGTGCCCTTTCTCCACTCCTCTAAATATGCATCTCTATAATTGGAAGAGAGGGGTCTGAACTATCCCTGAGGGACAGAAATAAAAAGATACCATTCAAAAGGCTGGCAATAGGTGAAGGGGAGAAACCTGTATATTTAACCTCAGTTTCCTAAGGCAATAAGCAATGTAAATCTTACCTTGACTTAAATACCACAGGACAGAATTAAGCCCAACAATTGTAGAATTTATTGCAAATAAAAGAGAAGAAAATCCCAAACCCTGCCTTTTCTAGTCCACCTCCTTACCAAAGCAAGGTTGTACGTTTTTTTTAGTGCTTTCTGAAGTCTAATTTTAGGTGTCCCAAATAATGTGGCTTTTACTATTTCCCTGGGGAAGCTCTTTCCCAGTCAAATAACTCTTTTAGTTCAGATTGCCTGACATGCAGCCTAATTTCTCCTTCTCTTAGTTTGATCCCATTTGCACTCCACTGCAGATGACTCTACCTTGTTCCAAACAAAACAGTTTCTCCTACTGCTCAGCATCAGCTTTACGGAATATAAGCACTGTAATTCCAAAGTACATTTGCAAAGACTTTTTATATTTTTTGAGTTGTTTTACTTCTCACAAGGCAGTGAACTTCTCATCAGTCAGAGAACATTATTACTGTTCTCTGATCTCAAAATGACTGGTCTTCTTTTGTTCTGTTGGTAAGGATAATTCTGAACCTGGTAATTTCAGGTGTCACAAATTGTTTTCTGCGTGTTCTCACCATGTGACCTTGAATAGCAGCTGGGTTTAAGAACAAGACTGCAGTTATCAAGAAGAACTCAAGCCTCTGATTTCTGAAGGCCCAAATAAAATCTTCACCCAGACTTTCATTTGACGTGTCAGATAAGACAGAGAAGGTGCAGATCTTTCTCTTCACAGACTGCTCCCTCAATCTTGTGCTGGATTTGCCTGTGGGAAACTCAAAACCTCTGCCTAAGCTTTTCTGCCTAAGTTTTGGTCTCACTTTATTCAGCTACCAGATATGCACCAACTCTGATCCAAGTGCTTCCCACAAGTCTCCTCCTGAAGCATCACTGCCACAGCCTCAGTGCAGGGCCCAGACTGAAACTAAATCCTGTGGGAGCAGAGAGCCACACTAAGAAACAGTGGAATTTGGGCAGCAGCTCATGTCTCCTGCCACACTGACATTCAGCAGAACCACCACAGGTGTGCCTGCAAAAACTCTTGTAAAATACCATCACCCAAAACAGCTGCACCTTTAATTTAGTACAATGTCTAGAAGGCGTAAAGATAGAGGGGGAAAAAAATCACAATTATTTAAATGTGCATAATATGCATTTATGTACGAAAACAACTCTAAATAGGGGCATTCTGTAAATGGTCAATGTCCTTAGGTCCTTAGGTGGTATAGTCATTAACATGAAACAACACAGTTGGAATTGAAAATATGACCCTTATAAACAAGACGGAGAAAGGACTGCAAAATAACAGGTTCATTACTACTGGACTTGCAATCACTGCAGCTGCACACTCTGAAGTAGGTAATTCAGCTTTGAGGAAATGTACAGGTTTTCTTCCTTCAAAGTAAAGGCTGGGGTAGATATTTCAAAGGTGTGCAGGAGAGATTATCTATAATACTGGTCTTACTTTCTTGATGAAAAACTGAAAAAAGTAGACCACAAGCTGGTTTTATCTTTTAATCAACGTTTATATAATCAAATATTATTTCCTCATTAACTGTACTGTTCTGAGTTATACCTTTTAAGTCCTTATATTTCAACAGAAAAGTCAAATAATTTCAAAATTACCTGTGAAAAAACAGCATCAATAAGCATCTGCTCAACTTTCATGATCTCAAAAGTAGAAAATTAGCATAATTGTGTGCCCATTTGCTCCTGCAAAACATCACTGAAGAACAGCTGAAATCACTGGTATGAGAACTCCACAGATCTTTAAAGACAGTGCAACA